TGAAGCACCCCAGGGTTAGAAGAAGGAAAGAAATCATAAAAATTAGGGCAGAAATAAATGCAAAAAAAAAACAAAGGAGACCATAGCCAAAATCAACAAAGCTAAAAGCTGGTTCTTTGAGAAGATAAATAAAATAAACAAACCATTAGCCAGACTCATCAAGAAAAAAAGGGAGAAGAATCAAATCAACAAAATTAGAAATGAAAATGGAGAAATCACAACAGACAAGAGAGAAATACAAAGGTCATAAGCAACTACTATCAGCAACTATATGCCAATAAAATGGACAACTTGGAAGAAATGGACAAATTCTTAGGAAAGTATAACTTTCCAAAACTGAACCAGGAAGAAATAGATAATCTTAACAGATCTATCACAAGCACAGAAATCAAAACTGTAATCAGAAATCTTCCAAAAAACAAAAGCCCAGGACCAGATGGCCTCACAACTGAATTCTACCAAAATTTATAGAAGAGCTAACACCTATCTTACTCAAACTCTTCCAGAAAATTGCAGAGGAAGGTAAACTCTCAAACTCATTCTATGAGGCCACCATCACCCAATACCAAAACCAGACAGAGGTGCTGCAAAAAAAGAAAACTACAGGTCAATAACACTGATGAACAAAAAAGCAAAAATCCTCAACAAAATTCTAGCAAACAGAATCCAACAACATATTAAAAAGATCATACATCATGACCAAGTGGGCTTTATCCCAGGGATGCAAGGGTTCTTCAATATTTGCAAATCAATCAATGTGATACACCACATTAACAAATTGAAAGATTAAAACCATATGATTATCTCAACAGATGCAGAGAAAACCTTTGACAAAATTCAACATCCATTTATGATAAAAACCCAACAGACAAGTGTTCGGGCCTGGTGCACTGGGAAGACCCAGAGGAATCGGGTGGAGAGGGAGGTGGGAGGGGGGATCGGGATGGGGAATACATGTAACTCCGTGGCTGATTCATATCAATGTATGACAAAACCCACTGCAATGTTGTGAAGTAATTTGCCTCCAACTAATAAAAATAAATGAAAAAAAAAACCAACAGAAAGCAGGCATAGAAGGAATATACCTCAACATAATAAAAGCCATATATGACAAACCCACAGCAAACATTATCCTCAATGGTGAAAAATTGAAAGCATCTCCCCTAAAGTCAGGAACAAGACAAGGATGCCCACTCTCACCACTACTATTCAACATAGTTTTGGAAGTGTTGGACACAGCAATCAGAGCAGAAAAAGAAATAAAAGGAATCCAGATAGGAAAAGAAGAAGTAAAACTCTCACTCTTTGCAGACGACATGATCCTCTACATAGAAAACCCTAAAGACTCCAGCAGAGAATTACCAGAGCTAATCAATGAATATAGTAAAGTTGCAGGATATAAAATTAACACACAGAAATCCCTTGCATTCCTATACACCAACAATGAGAAAACAGGAAGAGAAATTAAGGAAACAATTCCATTTACCACTGCAACGAAAAGAATAAAAAACTTAGGAATAAATCCACCTAAAGAAACAAAAGACATATATATAGAAAACTATAAAACACCAATGAAATAAATCAAAGATGACACAAATAGATGGAGAAATAGACCATGTTCATGGATCAGAAGAATCAATATAGTGAAAATGAGTATACTACCGAAAGCAATCTATAGATTCAATGCAATCCTTATCAAGCTACCAACGGTATTTTTCAGAGAACGAGAACAAATATTTTCACAATTTGTATGGAAACACAAAAAACTTTGAATAGCCAAAGCAATCTTGAGAAAGAAGAATGGAACTGGAGGAATCAACCTGCCCAACTTCAGGCTGTACTACAAAGCAACAATCATCAAGACAGTGTGTTACTTGCACAAAGACAGAAATGTAGATCAATGGAACAAAATAGAAAGCCCAGAGATAAATCCATGCACCTATGGCTACCTTATCTTTGACAAAGGAGGCAAGAATATATAATGGAGAAAAGACAATCTATTTAACAAGTGTTGCTGGGAAAACTGGTCAACCACTTGTAAAAGAATGAAACTAGAACACTTTCTAACACCACACATAAAAATAAATTCAAAGTGGATTAAAGATCTAAATGTAAGACCAGAAACTATAAAACTCCTAGAGGAAAACACAGGCAAAACACTGTCTGACATAAATCATAGCAGGATCCTCTATGACCCACCTCCAAGAGTAATGGAAATAAAAACAAAAATAAACTAATGGGACCTAATTAAACTTAAAAGCTTTTGCACAATGCAGGAAATTATAAGCAAGGTGAAAAGACAGCCTTCAGAATGGGAGAAAATAATAGCAAATGAAGCAACTGACAAAGGATTAATCTCAAAAATATACAAGCAACTCCTACAGCTCAATTCCAGAAAAATAAGCGACCCTATCAAAAAATGGGCCAAAGAACTAAACAGACATTTCTCCAAAGAAGACATACAGATGGCTAACAAACACACGAAAAGATGCTCAACATCACTCATTATCAGAGAAATGCAAATCAAAACCACAATGAGGTACCATCTCACGCTGGTCAGAATGGCTGCTATCTAAAAGTCTACAAACAATAAATGCTGGAGAGGGTGTGCAGAAAAGGGAACCCTCTTACACTGTTGGTGGGGATGCAAACTAGTACCACCACTATGGAGAACAGTGTGGAGATTCCTTAAAAAACTGGAAATAGAACTGTCATACGACCCAGCAATCCCACTGCTCGGCATACACACTGAGGAAACCAGAATTGAAAGAGACACATGTACCCCACTGTTCATCGCAGCACTGTTTACAATAGCCAGGACATGGAAGCAACCTAGATGTCCAGTGGCAGATGAATGGATAAGAAAGCTGTGATACATATACACAATGGAATATTACTCAGCTATTAAAAAGAATGCATTTGAATCAGTTATAATGAGGTGGATGAAACTGGAGCCTATTATACAGAGCAAAGTAAGTCAGAAAGAAAAACACCAATACAGTATATTAACACATATATTTGGAATTTAGAAAGATGGTAATGATGACCCTATATGCAAGACAGCAAAAGAGACACAGATGTAAAGAACAGACTTTTGGACTCTGTGGGAGAAGGCGAGGGTAGGATGATTTGAGAGAATAGCACTGAATCATATATATTATCATATGTGAAATAGATCACCAGTCCAGATTCAATGCATGAGACAGGGTGCTCAGGGCTGGTGCACTGGGATGACCCTGAGGGATGGCATGGGGAGGGAGGTGAGAGGGAGGGTCAGGATGGAGAACACATGTACACCCATGGCTGATTCATGTGAATGTATGGCAAAAACCACAGTATTGTAAAGTAATTAGCCTCCAATTAAAATAAAGGAAAAAAACCCAAAATGGAATGAGAGAGGAGAATGAGACAGAGAAAGGGACACAGAGAGAGACACTGAAGAGGAAATACAGCAGTGTATCATGCTGCCCACTTGCAAACTAGTTCCTAAGGACTCCTGACAGTCTCCCCAAGCCTGTAAGGAAAGGGAGCAGGCTGGAGTTACAGTACACTGGTGTCAGAAAGCAGCTGCTATAAGCAAAGTCCAAGTTCTGAAATATGTAGTGGCATTTGCTCTGTGAACCCTCCCCTTCATACGTTTTCTGAGGACCTCTGGGCATGATCCTATGGGTCATGCTTCCCCCAATTTTTTTACCTGTCCCTGGCACCAGACATTCTTCCCTCTGGTTGAGCCTCCACCCATTAGTACATACCACAGAATGACAGACTTTTTTATTAATATTTAAGAGTCAGTGATCTCAAGACTGACTTAGATAGGTAACTGGTCACTTTGAATCTCATGCCTTTATGAGGAGGGGACAAGACAAGATAATCTAAGATCTCTTCCAGATCTAACCACAAAATTTATGCTCTATTAATGACTAATCACATTTTCTTTAGACACTGGTTCCCTCTTGCCAATAATCATCAGTGACTAAGCTATCATGTTTTAGAGATCCTCCCTAAAAAGTGGGAATTGCTATTGAAACCACCAGCTGTTCCTGGACAGCTGTTTCTTTCAAAGGAAGCTATACCTCTATGAGTAATAGAATTCACATCAGAAATCAGCCCATTGCCTTTGAATGGTCAAAAGGCACTAGTAATTTTTTCAATCTTCCAAAGAAGTTAATACAAATGTTGGACTCATTGTAACTCTTTCCTCTCCAGAGGATTGGGGACTGCTGTTAATTAATGAAAAAGACAAAGAGAGTTCTATTCCAACTTTCTAGCATGCTAGAATGTTCTGTATCTTTCATCTGATTGCAGTTATATGGGTGAATACATGAAAAAAATTAAGTGTACCTTTAAGATTACAGCCTTTCATACATTTTACTGCATGGAATTTTTAAACTTTTTTATTAGGTACAAGAATCCTAGTCCATTCCATTGCCTAAGATCACTTAGGGACACCAGAATTGGCCTGAAGATGCCAAGTCAGCACTGGCTCTAAAGGAAGATCTTCCTCTTCATGTTTTTATCAGCTGGGGGTTCAGGAGTTGGCTGGTCCACAATTTTTATGAAAGATGCGAAGAGCTGACTCATTTGAAAAGACCCTGATGCTAGGAAAGATTGAGGGCAGGAGGAGAAGGGGACAACAGAGGATGAGATGGTTGGATGGCAATACTGACTCAATGGACATGAGTTTGGGTGGGCTCTGGGAGTTAGTGTTGGACAGGGAGGCCTGGCGTGCTGCAGCTCATGGGGTCACAAAGAGACGGACACGACTGATAGACTGAACTGAACTGAAGTGACCTTGGTTTAAATCCATCCAGACAGTACTCACACTTACCCAGATCATCCCTATGAGTCACATAAGTTGTGAGTCTAATACCAGTTAAAGAAAGTAACTATAGATACAAAGAACTCCTCAAAGTATGTGAACATCATCTTAAAAAGCAAAAGTTTCTTATAAGGTCAGGATGGGAAACACCTAAGGTTTGGGATTTATGACCAGGCCTTACCTGCTTGCAGGTACTCTGGCTGCAGAGTTGGAGGCAGGCCCTCAGGCAATGGGTAGCCGTTCTTTCGGGCCACAATGAGATGAAATGCAGCACAGAACTCTGGCAGGGTCAGGGCTCCATCGCAGTCGGCATCACTCAGTTCCCTAAATATAGCAGATATCATGAGAGCCTAACATGGGGCTCAGAGGTAAAGTTGTTCAGCCTCAAACATGCAAACACAACTCCTAGGCTCCCTGGTGGTAGCCCTGCAGGATCCCCCAAATTCATATAAAATCTCAGGAGGCCACACAGAGGAAGAAAAAATCAACACCACTAGCATGAGTAGCACTTTATAAATAAAAATTTAAAGTCTTCAAGTTCTCCTGTAGATCTGTTTTTCTAAGAGAATGCACAAGCAAAAAACTATGGGATGAAAAGGAACAGGATGCCCACAATTTCACAGTTAGTTGACACTCATTCAATAAATGCCTGGTGAGAAGTGCCCGAGCCTGGCACTTGAAATAGTTGGAGGAATGGCTGGCCCTGCCCTTTCACCTGGCCCTGCCCTTTCATCAGTGTCCCGGCCATTACTCAATTACCCAAACTCAGATACAAGCACTTCATTTTTCAACTTTAAGGAAAAACCTTAAACATTTCAAGTCACACAAATGTTGCATCAAATATTTGCTTGAAAATTCTCTCCTGGAAAAATACAAATAAGCTCAGTAAATACTTGTTGAATTATGTTTTCAGATAAAAATAGCAACTAGAGAAGGCTGGAACCAGATGAGATGGAAAGTAAGAAAGGGAGAGGCTTGAAAAGGCTTATCTTTGCTTCAGTCATTGTTTTTCACTGAAAAGCAGAGACCTATTTGCCAAAACAACTAAGACCCCATAAGCTCAACCAGCCTCTTAGGCGTACAGAGACAAATATGCCTGTGTTAGGACAAGCAGAGAGAGAAGGCATATTTTTTTCTACTTGAAAGAAAAACCATGGAAGGTAAGCTCTGGAACTTTCCTTTGGAACTTCACACCCACCTCCCCCTGGAATATTCAGAAAGTACCAGGTCCTCAGGGTAAGGAACCAGGGAACTTTTTTAAACGATGGGTGGAGAGAGGCCCACAAAGCTTCTGTGGATGTGTCTTAACAAAAGATAGGAACCGTCATGCTGATAATGTTAAGACTGGGAATTCTGTCGAAACAGACTGTGTTCTTTACAAAATGATAACTTCTTTTTTTCCCAAGCTTTAAAGCCTAATAAGGTTTGCCATTTTTCTTTAATGTTAGAATATATTGCTGAAGAACCGAAAGCCAGCTCAGGATCCCAGATACAGTAGCATTTACAAGTGTCAATGGAATAGTTTTTCAATATGATGCACAAAACATGACAAGTAATTTTAAATCCCACTATAATTTTTTGTAAATCCTCATCTAAAAAGTTCTACATAAATATTCCAATACTTTAATTATATATTTATAGCAGCATGGTCTCCCACTCAGTCTCAAGGAAGAACAGCCCACACGCAGCCAGGAGCTTATAGAAGCACCAAACGCTTTCATAAAAGCAAACAGAGCCATCTGGACCAGCTTGTGAAGCCCTTCTGGAGCCAGGGATGCGTCTGGCACGGCAGCAAGGTACAGAGCACACCATAGCTGCAAGTCTGAACCAGGGTCCAGCTGATAAACATGAGCCAAATTTATGAAACTCAGAGGCAGCAAGAATAGTCAAATTTAACTTAATTCCAAAATATCTGTGGACCTTCTGTTCACCTGGCCTCATAAAATATTATAAAGAATAGCTTTTCAAGGTTCTCTAGTTATGTGCAGCACATGAAGTAGAAAAATCTGAAAATACACAAGATGGAAATTCTCATATGCTCATACAACTGCTTATATTGAAAAGGCATCTGGGTGAGGATACTAATCAGGAAATTACTTTTTAAATGAGCAAAATAGTGAATAATATATTCCAGACACTATTCACTGTGCTTTTCATATAATAATCTTCACAGCAATAATAATTTAAGTTCTAGTCATACTCTTAGTTTATTTTTAAAAAATTCAAAACATTATTGCTTTAAAATGCAAAAGTAGGAGCTAAGGGATGGCTATGGATAACAGTATGAAACTACAAGGCATTAATTGTACTTACCATATATAGGAGAGTTCTGGAATGGAAAGTTTTGATTTGGTGAAGAAGTTTTTGGCAACAGAACCTGTCAAGAGCCATTGTTTAAATAAATCATTAATTACTTACCTAGAGCAGCTTTTTCATTTATGTATAGATGAATTACCATTTTTTTCATTCAGCCATCCCTACCATATAACAACCACAAACATAACAATTATTCATCAAAGCAACTACAAATCATGTGGCTAAAAACAACATACAAACAGCTTTTAAAACAATATGTAAATTAGAATGGGGCAAAAGAATTAGTGACATAATACTTATTATCACATGAAAAATATATTACGTTCAAGTTCCTTCTTCATTTTTCTGAAAATCTGCAAAATTTACTAAAAATTTAAAAGATAAAAATATCAAAATTTTCAAAGTAAAAATCTGTCCAGCATTTTAAATGAAAGGGTGTGTGAAAGTAATACACAATAATGGTAGGAAACAAAGCAAAAAGAAGAAAATCAACACCATTAACCTCATCATACTACAGATAAGACAGGCATCTTGGCTAAGTGTTTCAGTGAGATTTTAGATCTCTTGGTGGCTCTTCAAGAATTGTATCCATGAACCTATTACTACTTCCTTTATTCATTGCAAATTCACCAATATCAATGGAAATCATGGAATGATTCCATTCTGCATCTTACGTAGCTGCAATCTCCAACCGCACTTAAAATGTTTAGCCTTAATCCTTATTGAGATTGAAATTTTATGCTGTCTGCTCTCAAAACAGTTTCACAATTCTAACACAAAAATTAGTCAAGTGAAAGCCCTAAATGCTATTCTTAACTGATAAAGTCAAACGTCTTTCCTTAGTAATTGTAAGTCTTCTAATTGGCCTTAAAACAAAGGATTATAATGGACACTAAAGCAGACTTATTTTCCATTGATATATAAAGGATCAAAGATAAGTACCCTATAAATGAATGAGCTTCCTCCTCCAGAGCACCCTAGAAAAAATGGTGACATAGGACTGTTGGCCATCCATATAGCCACCTTGTCAAACATTTGTCAGAAATGTCCTGAGGGACCTCCCTCATGGTATGGTGGATAAGAATCCGCATCATGGGTTCAATCTCTGGTCTGGGAAGATTCCACGTGCTGCAGAGGAACTAAGTCCTTGTGCCACAACTACTAAATGCTCGCTCTAGAGTCCATGAGCCACAACGACTGAGTCCACATGCTGCAACTACTGAAGCCCACACACCCTAGAGCTTGTGCTCTGCAACAAGAGAAACGACCACAATGAGAATCCCTGCTCATTGAGAACTAGAGAAAGCCCACAAAGAGCAACAAAAACCCAGCACAGCCATAAATAAATATTTTTTTAAAATGTGTTGAAAGCATACTTGTCAGCTATTTTATAGATAAAGGCATTCTCTCATTTCATTCTTCTTTTTCCTCACTGATTACCTTTCTTCAAAGCACAATACACTCAAACCCACAGCTAGAGATCTGGCCTGGCTTGGCCTTCACCAAGTAGAGACAGTAGTGGTCGTCCCACCCAGAGGGAAGCTGACAGCTAACAAGTTCAGAGGGAGAACAACTGAGAAAGCCCAAGTGCTCCCTCCTTTGGTGCGGACAGACGCTCAAACCAGGAGCTGGAACCTACACCCCGGCTGCCTCCCAAGCAATGAAGAAACCCCAAACCAGCCTCCTTTTCATCTTCTCTCCAGTCATTTTCATATCTATTTGAGACTGACATGAGAGAGAAGGGGTAGAAGGGAGACTTAAAAGCTGTTGGCATTCAAATATTAAAACCATGAATCCAGACTTTTTCTTATAAAAGGGTCTCTCAGCCCAGTAAACTACAGCTACACACAGCATTTCCCTTAGAAGAAATGGAGTATCCCTCATAATCAAGAAAGAGAGTCCAAAATGCAGTACTTGAATGCAATCTCAAAAACAACAGAATAATCTGTTTGTTTCCAAAGCAAACCATTCAATATCACAGTAATCCAAGTCTATGTCCCAACCAGTAATGCTAAAGAAGCTGAAGTTGAACCATTCTATGAAGACCTACAAGACCTTTTAGAACCAACACCCAAGAAAGATGTCCTTTTCATTATAGGGGACTGGAATGCAAAAGTAGAGAGTCAAGAGACACCTGCAGTAACAGGCAAACTTGGCCTTGGAGTACAAAACTAAGCAGGTCAAAGGCTAACAGTTTTACCAAGAGAATGCACTGGTCATAGCAAATGCCCTCTTTCAACAACACAAGAGAAGACTCTACACATGGACATCACCAGATGGTCAACACCGAAATCAGATTGATTATATTCTTTGCAGCCAAAGATAGAGAAACTCTACACAGTCAGCAAAAACAAGACCAGGAGCTGACTGTGGCTCAGATCATGAACTAATAATTGCAAACTTCTGACTTAAACTGAAGAAAGTAGGGAAAACCACTTTGATTCAGGTATGACCTAAATCAAATCCCTTACGACTATACAGTGGAAATGACAAATAGATTCAAGGGATTAGATCTGACACAGTGTCTGAAGAACTATGGATGGAGGTTCATGACACTGTACAGGAGGCAGTGATCAAGACCATCCCCAAGAAAAATAAAAGCAAAAAGGCAAAATGGTCGCCTGAGGAAGCCTTATAAGTAGCTGAGAAAAGAAGAGAAGCTAAAGGCAAAGAAGAAAAGGAAAGATATACCCATTTGAATGCAGAGTTCTAAAGAAAAGCAAAGAAAGATAAGAAAGCTTTCCTCAGTGACCAATGCAAAGAAAGGAAAACAACAGAATGGGAAAGATTAGAGACCTCTTCAAGAAAATTAGAGATACCAAGGGAACATTTCATGCAAAGATGGGCCTAATAGAGGAAAGAAATGGTATGGACCTAACAGAAGGAGAAGATATTTAAGAAGAGGTGGCAAGAATACATAGAACTATACAAAAAAGATCTTCATGACCCAGATAACCACGATGGTGTGATCACTCACCTAGAGCCAGACATCCTGGAGTGAGAAGTCAAGTGGGCCTTAGGAAGCATCACTGTGAACAAAGCTAGTGGAGGTGATGGAATTCCAATTGAGCTATTTCAAAGACTAAAAGATGACGCTGTGAAAGTGCTGCACTCAATATACCAGCAAATTTGGAAAACTCAGCAGTGGCCAGAGGACTGGAAAACATCAGTTTTCATTCTAATCCCAAAGAAAGGCAATGCCAAAGAATGTTCAAACTACCACACAATTGCACTCACATGCTAGCAAAGTAATGCTCAAAATCCTCCAAGCCAGGCTTCAACAGTACATGAAACATGAACTTCCAGATATTCAAGCTGGATTTAGAAAAGGCAGAGGAACCAGAGATCAAATTGCCAACATCCACTGGATCATTGAAAAAGCAAGAGAGTTCCAGAAAAACATCTACTTCTACTTTATTGACTACACTAAAGCCTCTGACTGTGTGGATCACAACAAACTATGGAAAATTCTTCAAGAGATGGGAATACCAGACCACTTTACCTGCCTTCTGAGAAATCTGCATGCAGGTCAAGAAGCAACAGAACTGGACATGGAACAACAGACTGGTTCCAAATTGGGAAAGGAGTACATCAAGGCTGTATACTGTCATCCTGGTTATATAACTTATATGCAGAGTACATCATGCGAAATGCCAGGCTGGATGAAGCACAAGCTGGAATCAAGATTGCCAGGATAAATATTAATAGCCTCAGATATGCAGATGACACCACTCTTATGGCAGAAAGCAAAGAAGAACTAAAGAGCCTCCAGATGAAAGTGAGAGAGGAGAGTGGAAAAGTTAGCTTAAAACTCAACATTCAAAAAACTAAGATCGTGGCATCCGGTCCCATCACTTCATGGCAAACAGATGGGGAAACAATGGAAACAGTGGCAGATTTTATTTTCTTGGGCTCCAAAATCACTGCAGATGGTGATTGCAGCCATGAAATTAAAAGACGCTTGCTCCTTGGAAGAAAAGCTATGACCAACCTAGACAGCATATTAAAAAGCAGAGACATTACTTTGCCAACAAAGGTCCGTCTAGTCAAGGCTATGGTTTTTCCAGTGGTCATGTATGGATGTGAGAATTGGACTATAAAGAAAGCTGAGCACCGAAGAATTGATGCTTTTGAACTGTGGTGTTGGAGAAGTCTCTTGAGAGTCCCTTGGACAGCAAGGAGATCCAACCAGTCAATCCTAAGAAAAATCAGTCCTGAATATTCATTGGAAGGACTGATGCTGAAGCTGAAACTCCAATACTTTGGGCACCTGACACGAAGAACTGACTCATTTGAAAAGACCCTGATGCTGGGAAAGATTGAAGGCGGGAGGAGAAGGGGACGACAGAGATGGTTGGAAAGCATTACTGACTCGATGGACCTGAGTTTGAGTAAGTTCCAGGAGTTGGTTACGGACAGGGAAGCCTGGCATGCTGCAGTCCACGGGGTCACAAAGAGGTGGACATGACTGAGCGAATGAACTGAACTGACACACAGCATTGATCCATCAGTGACCAAATTTTAACACATCCAATATACAGAGAGATAAAAAAAAAAATAAAGACCAGTAACCTATTATAAGCTTCAAAGGTGGTTAACAGTAAAGAACCCGCTTGCCAATGCAGGAGATGCAGGAGACCCAGGTTGGGTCCCTGGGTTGGGAAGATCCCTTGGAGAAGGGAACAGCAACCCACTCCGGTGTTCTTGCCTGGAAAATTCCATGAACAGAGGAGCCTGGCGGGCTACAGTTCATGGGGTCACAAAGACTCGGACACGACTGAGCGACTAACATTTCATTTCATTTCCCAGAATTAAGATCCCACATGAAAGAAAGAGAAAAATGGAAAGAAAAAGGGAGGGAGGGAGAGAAGAAGGAAGAAAACTGTGATATAAGGAATTGTCTGGCAGTCCAGTGGTTAAGATTCTATGCTTTCACTGCTGGTGGCCCAGATTCAACCCCTGTTTTGGGAACTAAGATCCCACAAACCAATAATAATAATAATAAAACTGTAATATATATTCCATATATATTCCTGCTTAGAGGCAAATAAACACATACTTTTTCATGACCTTGAATTAAGCACTGATTTTTTTTAGATATGATTGTTGTGCAAGCAACAAAAGAAAAAATAATCTGAACATCAAAATTAAACTTTTTGCTTTGCAAGACACTGTTAGAAAAATAAAAGGACAAGCCACAGACTGGGAAAAAAATATTTTCAAATCATATGTCTAGAGAATTTGTATCTAGAATACATAGAGAATTCTTACCACTCAACAATTTTTTTTTAATGGCAAAGGAGGGACTTTCCTGGTGGTCCAGTGGTTAAGAGTCTATGCTTCCACAGTGGGGAACACAGATTTGTCCTCTGACTGGGGAATGAAGACACCATATGCTGCGAGGTATGGCCAAAAACTAAGAAAAATTTTAAATACAGAAAAGGATCTGAATAGGCATTTCTCCAAAGAAGATATACAAATGGCCAATAAGAGCATAAAAAGATGCTCAGTGTCATTCTTCATCTACAAAGAGATATCACTTCACATTCACTAAGGTGGATACAACCAAAAGATAGTAACAAGTGTTGGCAAGGATGTGGAGTAATTAGAACCCTTAGACACTGCTGGTGGCAATGTAAAGTGGTGCAGTTACTTTGGAAAATAGTCTGACTGGTTCTGAAAAGGTTAAATATAGAGTTATCATATAAGCCAGCTATTCTACTCTTAGGTATATATCCAAGAGAGACAAAAACATACATCTACACAAAAACCTGTACATAAATGTTCAGCGCAACATTACTCCTAATAGCCAAAAAGAGAAAACAACCCAAAAGTCAATCAAATGATGAAAAGATAAATAAAATGTGGTCTATCCATACAACGGAAGGATATTGTCATAAAAAGGAGTGAAGTTCTGGTATATACCACAACATGGATGAATCTTAAAAACATTATGCTATGTAAAAGAGGTCACACACCAAAAAATACATATTACACAATTTCATTTCTATGACAAGCCCAGAACTGGTAACTCTATAGACAGAGAAAGTAGTTTAAAATGGCAACCTAAGGCTAAGGGAGGGGTGGTAGGGAAAGCAGGAATGGGAAATAAATACTAGTAAGTAGGTGGTTTGGAGGGAAGTGTTTTAAATCTGTTGTTTTTCAGTTGTTAAGTCATATCTGATTCTTTACTACCCCATGGACTGAAGCATGTCAGGCTCCTCTATCCTCCACTATCTCTGAGAGTTCTACATCTAGATTGTGACTATACTAAAAACCTTGAATTGTACACTTTAAATGGGTGAATCTTACAGTATGTAGACTATATCTAAATTAAAATGTTTTTTAAAAGGGGCCATCAATTAATTGCAATGTATGAACCTCTCCTGCCCTTGATCAAACTAAAATTTTGAAAAGGCAGTTGCAAGACAATCAGGGAAATCTGAGCAAGACTTGATAATTAAGCATTTTGTGGGTTATTTTATGTTTTTTTTAATGTGCCAATGAGTTGTGGTTATGTTTTTAATAGAGGTCTTATCTTTACATATACATCCTGAAATATTTTCAAATGAAATGGTCTGGAAATTGCTTCAAAACCATCAAGGCTCAGAGAGGCTATAGATAAAACCAAATTGTGAGAGTTGAGTGATAAGTACATAGAGGTTTGTTATACTAGCCACTAGAGTTTTGTTTGTATTTGAAAGTCAGTGAGATATAAAGGTTTGAAAGAAAATAAAAACATTCCTAACAAGTACCTATTTTCATTTGGCTAAATATCTGTATACATTGTGAAGAAACTCATTTAGGCAGTGTATAAAATGAGCATGTGGTCAATACATAAAATCTGGGTTTCTGGGGGTTTTTTAAAAATCATTTTGTCAACATTAATTTGTTGTATCTACAACATTCTGCCTTCAAATAAAGTCATTACTACCAATCAGACAATGATATCTGTGTTTATACAGGTATATTCCAACTACACACCATATGTTAGGAGAGAAAATTAATTTTAGTCCACACTGCAAAGTGTCAGGTAACAACTATCAAGGACATACTGTCATTCTTCACAATTGAAATGGAAAAAGAAAGTTCTATGAATTTTTCTTCCAGATTCTACTATTTCAACTTGTTTAGTCTTCAGCCAGGTGAAATATAGGCACGTAGGAACTAAATCAATTCCTCTCAGCTTGAATTTTGCATAAGAACTCAACAGGAATATATACGTCTGAAAATACTCCAGAAGAACTAATATGTGGACATAAAAATGCTAGTCAATTTTCCTCCAATTTTTTTCTCTCAGAAAAACCAGAGAAAGACTGGAGTCAAAGAAAATGAGCATGAACTTGAACTCTAACGTGTATATAACATAAGGAGAACTGTGACAGCAACTCATTGGGAGGCTACACTTTGCCCTTGCTCTAATACCAATGTAATGAGTAAGCAATTAAAGGTGTCACCTTGGTGTAACACTCATTTCAGGAACTGCTCCAGCTAATAAGGCACAGGATCTGGACCAGGATGCTTCATATTCCCATTTAACTCCTTTGAAACGGAAACACAAACTTCCAAATACCATTGCCAAGTATTTTTCTACACGGCTTATAGTTGGTAAGAAATTCAACCTCAGAGAAAAACAAACTGAAATCATAGAAGGTTTTTGTACTCATTTTGAATGGACTATTTCTTAAGATGGGCACTGTTATTTATGTGAGACAGTGAGCTGGGACCTGTGATCTCACCCACCACACTTCATTACCTGAAATGAAGGAACTCGGATCAGGCTGCAGGGACCGGAACTGGTTGACATAGTACTCGCGCTGCTCTTCTGTTATCCTCCAGGGTTCGTCTGGGTAACTAGTGCTGTTATCCTGCAGTTCTCTCTCCACTGAAAAGGACTTTAAAAAGAAATCAATAAGCAAATGCTCACATAATCTGTCTTTTGTGAAATGAAGTAGAACTATTAAACCCCAATAAAAGTTACCAAGGATTATATTTATTTTTTTCTCAAGGGAATAAATTTGAACACCTCGTGACTAGTTTAATGTGAACATAAACTTCTGAAGGGCAGACATCATGCTTTATACATTTTTGTGTGTGTTCTCCAAAGTTGGTAACAGGATTAAGCATGAAATATTGAACACTCGGATGCGTGACAAAAGATTTACCAATGTGATGAAGGGGGAAAGTACAATCATTCTTTTCTTCAAATATTTGCCACATTTTGATCCTTTCAAATTAGCTGAGCAGATAGTAAAATAATCTAGACTCTTTTTAACTCATTTTTTTAAAAAAATCTAGAACAGTTGTAACTACATCATCTTTTTTTCTGAGGCATTCCCATTGTATAAATCTGGGAATCAAATGCTCAGGATAAAGTCCCATGTCCCTAGGTCCCACCTGAATGGCAAGTCAGAATCACCAAACCTCTCATTCCATATTTGTGAACTGGGGGTTCTACTTAGTAATAGAGTGGAGTGCAGAGATGGGCTGTCATGGTACTGCAACAAACAGGGTAGCAAGGGGTGCATCTGACCTGCCACTAGGGGGCGTGCAAGCCAAATTTGAGAATTTAAGGATACAGAATCCTGTGTAGTAGTGCAGGAGAACAAGCTCTGCAAGGGAACTGGAAAAGAAGCAAAAATGGTGATTCTGGAAAGAGCAGCCCAGAGCTTTGTTCCATCCCTCCCATCTATCCTGGGGTTAAGGTGCTTCTTGCGAACGCCACCTTCATGGAATAAGGAGGGTAAGCCTTTAAGACAAAAGGAGACTAGGAAAGGAGACGTATTACTACTAATGAGCCATCAAGCTGCCTGCTTCTTGAACACACTATCAAGGAACTAATCATTAGGAAGGTATTCTAGTCACTAGCGCCAGAAAAAAACAGTAGATCATCTCTGTCCCCTGCGCCAAATTCCCCATCACACACACACACCATTTTGGAAGTAATTCTTCCCAGGAACACTTGACTCTCCTCTAATGCCATTCAGAGAAGAAACAAGTCTATAAAAGCTTGAGTTGTAATATAACCTTGAGATGCCATCTTTGAAGTTTTCATACTAGATGAGTTTCCACTAAATGTTAATCAAACCATTTTTAAATGCCCTGGAAGTCATTATCCATTAGTTAATGCCTTAAATTCAAAGAGTGTTTTGAAACTCACAAAGTATTTCACCCTCTATCTCACCTGAGTACCTCAAACTTTTGAGGAGTAGCCACAGGAGTTAGTAGTATCATTTTCCGAGATGAAAACTGACGCTCAGAGAGTTTAAGGGACATGCCCATAGACTTCACAGAATTCCTGGAGTCAGCAGATAAATGCAGAGTTTTTTTTTTTAATCTGTTACCAAAATTCCCATGCTAGGTGTTGGCTGCTGCATTCCTTGGTACTAACATGGACGCTTCTACTCCCCTCTAGAATACACTCCCTTTCATGCCTAGAACCAAAGCTGCCATACCCAATCGTTAGCATCAGCCCATGCTTGTTCTTTTCCCAATCCCATGACCATCTGCTCACACTATTTCCTCTCTCATATTACCTGACTCCTGAGTGGCATCAGTAGTCTCTTGTTCTTAGTCGCTCAGTCATGTCCGACTCTTTGTGATCCCATGCACTGTAGCCCATCAGGCTCCTCTGTCCATGGGGATTCTCCAGGTGAGAATACTGGAGTAGATTGCCATGCCCCTCCTCCAAGGATCTTCCCAACCCAGGGATTGAACCCAGGTCTCCCTCATTGCAGGCAGATTCTTTACTGTCTGAGCCACCAGGGAAGCCCAAGAATACTGGAGTGGGTAGCCTCTCCCTTCTCCAGGGCATCTTCCTGACCCAGGAATCGAACCTGGGTCTCCTGCATGGCAGGTGGATTCTTTACCAGCTCAGCTACCAAGGAAGTCTAATCTGACAGTAGAAATCAGGAATAAAAAGGAGAAAGTGATTGATTTTCTCTGCTTAAAAGCTTACAGTATGACCTGTTACTCAATAAAACAAATTCACCTCCTCCACCTTGCTTTTATGACCCTTATAATCCAGCCTCCTCCTTGGTCACATAGCAGGCTTCTGATAGGCCATATGCTCTCTCCTCATAGGTCAGATTTGTGTCTTCTCCCCATAACACTCTTTCTCTGATCCCAGTCTGCACAAATCCTACCCATTCTCAAGCTCCATGGCCCTGAAGGGCTCTCTGATATACCTGCCAGGCCCACAGGCACTGCAGAGGTGCTGCCTGCTCCCCAGCCCCCCAGCTCTGCTACAAAGATGGGTCTGGTACCACATGTGTACTACAAGGCCCACCTCATGCCTGATCTCCTCCACCTCAGTCCAAGTAAGGGCGGGTGGGCGCACAGGATGCTCTGGTGTAGAAAGCTCTTCTTTAGAGAGAACAAGCTGGGCCAGATGCTCATTCTTGGGGATGTAGATAAAAGTGGAAAGATCAACCAGCAGAGAAAGCAGACCCTGAGCAGATGTACAGCAGAGCTGTGGTGTCAAGCTGGGGCCAGCTTGAACTTAAAGTCATGAGAGAGCCAGAACCAAGCACAAGCAGAACCTGTGAGGTACAGAAGTACTAGAAAGAGTCCGGGGTAAAGGTGGTTGTTGGGAGCCAAAAGGTAAATGGACACTAAAGTCACCTCAACTAGGGCAAAGCCTGGTAACAGCAGAATAAATATGAATAACCAACAGCTCCCATTACTGGGGACCACTGGGCCACTCTTTGTCTCTCATTTTTTGGATTCCCATGAGAACCCCAACCCCTTTCTCCTTCTCAAGAAAACTTAAGCTGACAGGAAGAGTTCCCACTCCTTAAAACCAAAAGTGCCTTCCAACAAGGGAGGACATGTGAACACAGGGCAACCTGTATATGGTGTGGCCCTTCTACCAGCTCGCACAAAACACATTCATTGACCCCAATCTCTTTCCCTTTGCTTCTCACTGCATGATTTCAAATGATTTGACAAACCAAGTGATTTGAGCATCTTACAATGTGAATCCTTATTATAAATATGGTAAGTGTCATACAGTTTTTGAACATTTAAAGTGTTGTTAAATATCTTCATTCAGGTTTCAATCTGGAGGGCAAGAGCAGTATCATCTAAGCCTTCATTCCACGCACAGCCCCTAGCAGGCACAGCACATACACTACAAGTCAGGTGAAGGCCACTTACTAACAGGCTCTAATAACTTCAGGGTTATATCTTATATTGAAAGAGACGCAGAAACACTACTCTAAGCTGTCCTTAATGAAAGAAAGCCTATAAGTTCATTTCATCTTTTAAAGCTTGAGATCTATCAACAGACATACCTGTCAGTCTCATGGTCTGATCTCTATGGAGAGGTCTCAAGTTACTCATCCATTGAGTGATTTCAGAGACAGGTAAAGGCATATGGAAGGAGCAGATCACATTTCACATACCTGAAGCCAAAATATTCCAAAACAAAGCTGATCTATTCCCTGGTAGCTCAGGCAGCAAAGAGTCTGTCTGCAATGTTGAAGATCCAGGTTTGATCCCTGGGTCGGGAAGATCCCCTAGAGAAAAGGGAATGGCTACCCACTCCAGTATGCTTGCCTGAAGGATCCCATGGACAGAGGAGCCTGCTGGGCTACAGTCCATGGGGTTACAAAGAGTCAGACATGACTGAGCGACTAACACTTCACTTTCACTTTGAGTTCATTTGGAGGAGATGGTTCCCTGTATTTGGTCTCTGTGATGAGATGGCAAACCTGGGTTCTCCTGCATTGCAGGCAGATTCTTTACCATCTGAGCCAACCTCAATGAACCCAAAAGGCAACCATTATAATCAAAGATCTGAAAAGTCAGTCACCTAAGAGAGGATGTCTACTTGCAAAGATTAGAGGCTCTGAGAAATGGAGATGGGGGAGCAGTGAGCCTTGCACCTCTGAAGAGAAGCCAGAACCAGGAGTAGCTCCACCTCCATGTGCACCCAAGAAGCACCCCCAGTTTCACCCCATCTCTAGTGGTTTGGTTGGCTCGGTGGAGATCTTTGGTACTTGGTGCCAATTTTGAGCTCTGGCAGTGTTTTCAAGAAAACATAAAAAGAGAGAGAGAGAGAATCTTTCACATCTGTGTGCTTAAGCCACAGACATATGGTTCATTATACAGTTTCTCTAGACACAGGAGAATTAGATTTGCTTATATTTAAAACATTCAAACCCTTGGTTTTGTTTCAAGTGAAATCCAAATATCTCACACTGCAAGTTGTTATCTCTGGGGAAAACAGGCTGTTTATAATGAAAGAGACTTCAAAAGACTCATTTAAAAAAAAGTAATACTATTAATAAAATCCCAAAAAGCAACATCTACCCCTAAAGTATCTTAAAATCAAACATAGCTGAAAAATATGAATTGCAAGAAGGCATTGTCAGGGAGAACTTAAGAAGGGAGTGTATATCTTTTCAACTACAGAACATTTCTGTTTAGCATATAATTCTACCCTGGAGGCCTCCTATAAATGCTGCCTTAGCGTCCAGCCATTTGATCTGAGGGTGCAATGATGATCTTAGAACAAATTCCTTTTGGTGCTTAGCAAACAACAAACCATCTCGGGAAGCAAAAACTCCTAGCAAGCCCACAGTGTCTATGTGAGGACACCTCCCCTGTTAACAATCATTTGGAAGTAAGAATGCCATAGAACAACCACAGATAAAAGCGTGATCTCATGAACAAAAACGTGAGAGGACTCAACTACCCTAAAGGGAAAGATTGGCTCATAGGCTGTAAGACTAGACTATAGCCTACATGACCATTAAACTGCCTAAAGAAAGATCATAGGAACTGATCCATCATGGGGCAGAGAAAAAAGAAGAGTCAGAGAAGCAAATGATAGCTGTGCTTCTATGTGGGATTCTGCTGGCTGTCCTTGAATCATTCACGCCCTACCTAC